AAACCCCATAACCAATTCCAATCAAGGGTTCATCATATATATATATATATATATATATATATATATATATATATATATATATATATATAAAATCATTGAATACACCTCAAACTTGAATCAGTGAATTACTCCAAATTCTTCAAAGCTGAAAAAAATACTAATTGAAAATGAGTAAAAGAATTAATAAAAAAATTAATAAAAACATTAATAAAATTATATGAACCCTGTAAGAACAATGAGGGTGATAAAAAAAATACTTACAACTTTGTCAAGAAAAATACAATGGTGTGTGTGTGTGTGTGTATGTATATAGACTCTCTCTCTCACACACACACACACATATATATGTGTGTGTGTGTATATATATATATTATGATTAATTAAAATATAAAAGAATAAGCATTAAAATGAATTTTCAGTGAGGAGCTAAATGTAATCTGTGATAGTGCATAAGGATCTAGCTGGAATACATAAAATTTTAATGCAAGGTTTCAAATTTAATAGACAAGGAGAAAAATGTTTAAAAAGTTGTAACCACTTACCATGTAAAAAAAATAGAATGGGCTGTAATATAATGCGATTGTGCATGATAAGCATGACACACGTTTTGTCTTAATTAATTATAATTAATTTGTTTTGTCACACTCACATGATAGTATTTTAAGTTAGTCACCATGTATAAAATGCCAATTTTGAAAAAAAGAATAAAATGAAATACTTTGTCTAGAATTTGCAAATATTTTGTGTTGTTTAAAGTTTTATCGTACGTAAAAGTTTGTATAAGAATTTTGTCGAACTGCGAAAATTGTGTTTGAGCTCGATTTGATTAATAATTGAGACGAACTCAAAATTTTAATTGAGACGAACACGAGTTTGAGTAAGTTATAATATTTTCACTGTCGTTAGTTGAATGGAAAAATATGTTCAAGATGATTTGATATGTTAAAGAAATAGTAAAGAAAACAATAACAAGAGTAGGGTTGGGCGTATCGGTCGGTTTTATCAGCGAACCGATCCACTTTCGACCCTTATTTCGTGGCCGATTCGGTTTGGGTTCTGGGTTCGGATGAACCATAATTAGACCGGATACAGCAGGTTATAAGTTAAAACGTTTCAAATCCCTCGTTCCGAATAAAACTAAGATTTTATCTCTATTTTGTAGACGCTCAATTAGTATAATTTACAAAACCATTAGCAATAAGTCCCTCATATCACTAAGAAATGGTGATATATCCGCCCCTTAAATCTTTTTTTGTGATAACCTCTAGGAATTTTATTTCCAATTCTACCCTTATGTCAATTATAATATTTTGTCTTGATGATTCTTTTTCTTTCTCTTTCTCTCACACATGTTACCTAAATCCTAATAAACTGCTACCAAATAAAAAATAAAAAAAAAATATTTTTTTTTTATTATTTTCGACTTTATTTAGCATTTTTTATATAATTTTTTTAATAAAAATATTTTTTAATAAAAATATTTTTTTAAACAAAAAGAAATTGAATATCTTTTTCGACAGGTATACTACCCGAATACGACTATAGTTGAATATGACTATATGTGACTATATCAACTGTAGTCATATTCTTTCTTTACATTGGTTTTTTACATTTTCAACTAAAAAATTACAATTATATAGTGTGGTACAGTCATGTTTACCAATTATATAAAACAACAATGATGGCCTAATGTTTACGAACAATCCAATCAACATCCATACGAAAAATCACTATTTGAATCTTGTTATTACAAGTCAACTTGAAATGAGAAGATAAAACATATTCGAATATGACTACAGTCATGTCAAACAATAGTCATATTCGAATATGACTAGAATATGACTATAGTCATAGTATTGCTGCTGTTCAAATCTGAAATTGTATTTTCAGATCTGGAGAAAAAATTAGAAAAAAAAAACCGAAAAATACATAAATAAAGATAGAAAATAACGAAACATAGGGAGGGCAAGTTGATGACACCGGCGGTTGCAGCGGTGAACGAAAGAGAGAGTAAGAGAGGCGGCAATGGTGGTGGTGAACAAATCTGAAAAAAAAAAAAAAAAAAACTGAGAAATCGAGAGAAATAATGAAAAGAGAGAAACAACCTTATGTGGAAGCGAAGGAGCGGCGGCGGCGGCAAACGGTATCCACGCTCATACATTCTTAGATAATTAAAACGAACTTGAACAACATAACGAAAAAAATAAAAATCACAGCTCTTATCATGCCAATCCGCAAGTGTCAGTGCATACAAACTTGCTCTAGGATCCAAAATAACAAAAACTCACAAAATTAATAAAATGCAAGATAATTGAAATATATGCATTCATAACAAACAAATGATATAACTGAAAAATTCAAATCCAGAACGAGTTTTACGGTTAATTAATTCGAGAAAAAATAAAAAAATAAATTCTACCGATTAATATTATAGATATCGGCAGTCAGGGAGGGAGTACCGCGACGGCGGTTTTGGTGAAGGGCGGCGGCGGTGATTTGGCGGAGGGCGGCGGCTATGGTGAGAACGTGGGCGGCGTAGGGTAATTTTTAGAACTCCGCCGGTGTCTAGCCGCTAGTCCTTTACCGCCTCAGTTTGTCGACTCCGGCCATCGGTGATCTTCTGTGGCCTCTTCGACTTTTTAGTGATTGAAAGAGTAGATCTAGGGTTTGAGAAAGAAGAACAATGAAATGAGAAAACAGATCGGTTGAGAAACCGAGAATGACGATTGATAGCGGAAGTCCTTTACCGCCTCTGTTTGTCGACTCCGGCCATCGGTGATCTTCTGTGGCCTCTTCGACTTTTTAGTGATTGAAAGAGTAGATCTAGGGTTTGAGAAAGAAGAACAATGAAATGAGAAAACAGATCGGTTGAGAAACCGAGAATGACGATTGATAGCGGAAGAAAAAAATTAGGATTTAAGGTTATAGGGTTGAGGGTATTTTTGACTTATCACATAAATCTAGGAGGATCTCACAAATTAAAACTGGAATTTGGATGTAGACAAAAGTCATTAACCTCAATAGGGTTTATTTAAAGGGATTATTGCTTATTTCCCCTTAAAATAAATATCAACAGATTATTAATAATATGAATTTAGCCAGTTTATTATAAATAATTTAAATGGCAAAATGCACTTCGCCCCCTAAAAAAATTTACCATTCGCACTTTCCCCCATAAGAAACCGAAGAAAAGATTTCCCCCCTTCAAAATTGTGTCACAATAACATTTTTCTCCAAAATAAAATTTCGGTGTATTTTTGACTGGAAATCAAATTTCTCCATCCACTTAGGGGTATAAGGCCAAATCATCTTTTCCACCTATTTAAAAAATTTTAAGGGTGCAAAACAAGATGTATTTTCCCCGAATTTTTTTATTTGTTTGTTTAATTTTTTGATTTATAAATTATAGTTCTTAATGCAATATATTCAACATTGCGTAATTCCAAAAATATTTTCGTATTTGTTATTCATGTTACAAATATTTTCATTATTGTTTAATAAAGTTTTAATAGTATTGCAATTTAAAGAAACAAAATGCAAAAAAATTAAATTTAATATAACTGAAAAAAAAAAAGCAAAAACGAAAAAAATAATTAGTAATCTTCTTCTCGTCGAACCTCCCCCAAGGCCCCACCCACTTTCACTGCCAAACAACTCTGCATCCACCTTCTGTTTCACCACCAGCAGCCACCCAACACCACCACACCGCAACTGCTACACCACCACGAAGAACCAACTAACATGAAGTTCAAACAATCCGTCGTCCAACATAGCACATAGGTTTAGGTGGTCGAATAAATTGGAGGGATTTATGTGTGACTGACGTCGTCGTCTTTATTGGAGATATTAATATTAAATGTGATACATTTCACTAACAGCTTAAACTTTTGGTTGAGATGGTCATTGAAAATGGTATCAGAGTCAGACCAAATGAAAAGATCCTTAGTTCGAATCCCACCGCCACCCATTTAAAATATTTCAAGTGAGAGGGCGTATTGGAGATATTAATATTAAATGTATTTCATCGTCGCATAAATGGTCGATTTTGGTGGTGTCAATCGAGCTACAAAGATTAGTAATGCAAATATGAAAATTGATCAACAACATTTCTGTGGGAAAAAGGAAGGAGAAAAATATATATACCCTAAAATAACACATATACCTCCTAGGTGGACAGAGATATTTGAAATCCGGTGAAAGATGCACCGGAATTCGAATTTTGGGACACAATTTAGAAGGGGGAGAGTCTCTTTTTCCATTTCTTAGAAGGGAAAGTGCGAAATATGAGTTTTTTAAGGAGGCAAAGTGCATTTTGCCTTAAATTAAATTAAAGAGTAGCTTTTGTAATTAAAAAAATAAATAATCACCCCCACAGAAATAACAATACGTCATCTGCCCGCATGGGTGTAGCTCAACTGGTTCCGGAGGTGGTAAGTTGGTGCAAGGTCCTAGGATCGAATCCTGGCAGCCGCAGTGTGGGAATTTCAACTCCAAATGAGGGTTGGTTCCTTGTGGGCACCAGGTCCGGGTCCGCTACCTTAATTGGTCGTTGAGTTACCATGATTTACATCCTCCATCAATCCTTGTCGGGCCAAGGGATGGGGGCCCTTGGGGCGAGGGATTCGCCTTTTGGTGCAACAATACGTCATCTTCCCTAAAGAGTTCAGACATACGTATTCAGAGTCATATCCAGAAATAAATAACAAATTACGGCTACCTTCTTAAGGTAAAATTACATTAAAAAAACCCCTATTATTTAGATAATTACAATCACCCCCTTAATTATGCATTGTCTTACACATCTACCTTTACGGTGTCAGATTTATCTATTGAATAGGTTTTTTTTTCCTAAGTAATACATGTTTGAATGGGTAGTTGTAATTATCCAAACATGTGGGATGTTTTCATAATTTGACCTCACCTCAGTGGCGTGACCGTAATTATTTGCCCAAAAATAAAACATCATCAGAAAAAATTGTTTATATTTCCCTCAAGAAAAATAAAAATAAAAAAGCAGAACCAGATTATATCAGCATCTATAACTCCAGCAAGGGATGAACACCAAAAAAAAAGTTAGATCAAATTATTCAAGAAAAGAAAACACCTCCAGATTGAGTTCATTACACGAAATACATCTTCGTTTAAAAAAAAAACGTTCTTGACAGTCGACAATATTGCAAGTAATGCCGTATAAGCCCTCTACTCCGCGGCCCTCACCCGTTTCCACAGCTTAATCCATTCCACCATAGTCTCCGCCGCACGAGCAAACATCGGATCATTCCCCCCAAGCACCTCCTTCACCTTCGAAGCAATCTCGCCCACACAATCCTCCGCCGTGACAGCACCCTCCGACAACCTCAAACCCTGGAAAAACGGGACCACATCCTCCATCAGCTTCACCCCTTCCCACTCCTTCTTCAAACTCTCCACCGCATTTCCTCTCTCCTGCCGCCAAACGTATGGCACCCCGCTTTTCACGCCAATCTTCAAATGATCGCACACAACCTTAACACACATCCCACTCCAAATATCCTCGACAGTTTCCCACCTCAGCTTCCCTTCTTTCGCTAACCTAAAAGCCGGCATCAATGCGGGGCCCACAAGCTCACTGTTAAACCCTATGTTGATCCCGCTAACCGGCAGCATTGTCCTAGCTGGCACTGTAAGAACCATGTCGACGTATCTCGAATTCCTCAACTCCGGTTTAAGTGCTTGTGTAGGTGCGTCGAGATCGGCTAAATTAAGCCATAGCCCGCACGACAACCCGCATTCGACTCCCGTTCTCAAGCTAAACGGGTACCCCCGAACGAAATCCGACCCGTCGACATACGGGTCGTATAACGTATTAAAGAAGAACGGGGTTGCTGGTGTGGTGAGGTTGATTATATGCTGAGACACTGCGTCAGTTATTTTGTTGTTGGTGTCTCTTGCAGGGGTACAATCGTCATCGACTGTGATTATGTATTTTTTACGCGACATTAGATAGCCGAAGTGGCGGCACGAGTAGCCGGAGAAGGAGATGGAATTCGACACGGGCCCCACGACTCTGTCTATGTCGGATTTCGTGTAGAGATTGAGATTGAATCCTTCCGGGATTTTGAGGTCGCCTTTTAGGTCGGGATCTTGGACGATTATTAAATGGAAACGGGAAAAAAACGGCCTCCATTCTTCCATGAACGATGTGAGATCCGACTGAAGGGCGCCGATAACAATGTCCACCTCATCGTCTTTGATGATAACTTGAGACATTTTCGTGTTTTTTTTTTTTGGAATTGAAATTTCTCTGAGAAACCTGAAAATAGTTAGGGAGTCGTTAATTAGATCGACCGATCATAATCGAGTAATTGCAAAATTAAGTGATTTAAATGACTGAAAAGGATTTCGGGTTTGCCATTTGCAAGAAATAACTTTGAAAATCTACTCATTCAGTTTATCACAGCTTTTAATGTTTTCTACCGATTAAAAAAAAAAAAAATATATGTTCGTGCGATTCAAAGCACGTAGGTACGAGCCATTTGGTATAATAAAAATGTGTACACACTACACACCAACAGAATCTTACCGAGCAATGTTAACTGATACTCGTATCTCTAGAATCGGGATGAACTATCCAAAAAAACTTAAGCACACTAACCACGAAATTAGCAGATGTAAAGCAATAATAATCTACCGATCATGTAACATATTAAACCGTATCGCATAAATTAGTTATAAAAAAAACGGAAACATCGTGTTTGAATGCCACTCACACAGATGTTTCTGTAGTATGCGAAGAAACGACTGTTCGATACATACATTCTTAGTGTTATCCCCTTTCATCTTATTCATGATTTTCTTCGATTCTTATTTTTTTTTTTTTTCTCACATATGGTTAATCCATGGTCAAATCAAAATGACAGCATGATTAAAGTTTGCATATAATCACGAATTTTTTTACCTCAGCACAATCAATCCAAAAACCTTCCTCATTCAATTAAAATACAAAAAAAAAAAAGAAAAAAAAAATAACCCATCACTGATCCACATCCAATCGGCGGAAAAATGAAAAAAAATATTAAATAAATAAATAAATTAAACGCAATCCAGTAAAAATCAACGAAAAACTCAAGTAATCAATTCATATCCCAATAATAAACACCCATTCACAAAATCAATCCAAATCCATTTTCACAACCATCATGAAAAGCGCGCGCGCGCACACACACACACACACACACACACACATATAATCGGATGAAATTATACATATAACAACTAGATACATACCAGGAAGAAGGATCGAGAAGAATGTGATCAGGTACAAAGCAAAAGATCTGAAAAAATGCGAGAGAGAATTAAACAATTGGCAGAGTTAATTGCAAGTGAGAGAAGAGTGGGCGGATTTCTCATTCATGTTATTATATTTCGTCGATCGTGCTTTCCCGATTCTTGCGCTTTCTCTCACTAAAAATTCTAGCAATTTATTAATTGAATTATATTTGATTATTAATTATTAATTATTTTATTATTCGGGTCAAATGTTTATCCATAAATAATGTTTGACCGGCTCGATTAAGTTTTTAAGCGAACCGGGAGATTTTTTTAACATAGATGTCCGGTCGGGATTGGGTTGGTTTTTACTTTTTACATAGCAGCCGATCCATTTTCAGACCGATAATAAATTTTTGGAGCAATATGCTAGAGGTCCCTTGTTGAAAATATAATTAGATGTGGAATACAACCCTATTATTTTTTTTATGAAGTAAATCAATTTTAGAAAAATAAATATGACTCACATCCTCAATTTTTCTTTTATTCTTAATTTGCCCTTAACCTAAATCCATAAATTCTAAAGTCACGTTTCTTTCACATTTATTTTTCTTTTCTCTCTCTCTCTCTCTCTCTCTCTCTCTCTCTCTCTCTCTCTCTCTCTCTCTCTCTCTATCCACCACTCAAGTTCATTATTGATGGGGGACGGTGGAGACAGCGGCAATAAGAGGATGGCTATAACTTATAGAGGCTAGGAAGCGGCGGCTATGGTGGTATAAGGTCAGATCTATGGCGAAAGGCGCGGCGACCGTGCTTGGCATGGAGGATGGTGATGGCTGACCACGGTGC